GTGTATGTGTAATGTGCGTGCGCGCGTGTGTGTTTTGTCAAAATTAAATATGTTGCTATTTACGACGTTCAAAATAAATATATAAATTTTCAAGAAAAATGTGTTTTATTCTCATTTACATGACCAGCTTCGATTAAGCCGAAACTACCACAACCTCTGAGACAATAAAATTCCGCATATTTGTATCTAAGGAACTGCTGTAAGTGATACATTTTGAAGGGCTGAAAAAGTTAACAATACTTCTTAACAAGGAATTTATAACAATAATCAAAATATATCAGGTCATTTCTAGACACCTTAAAACTGAGATTGCTAATAAGCCGGTGCCTGTATCATGATATAGCTTTATAAAAATGAGCCTAATCATGCGTTAACATTAATATTGTTTTATTGGAACACTTGACAACTTTGCATAACAATACATCATAATACACCATTAAAAATGCTCAAAGACCTTTAAAGTCGCAACACATGTTATTTTTGGTATTATAACTGTTTCGAAGGCGGTTATTTCATGATACCAATTAACAATATGAATACAATAAAACTGAAAATTTAATCAACATTCAGCATTCCTAGTGAATGTTGTTCAATTAGATATTATAAAGTAATATAAATTGATAATTTTGTTAGTCATCCCATTAAGACCTACATGATTTCAGTATAACTGTTTATTGACAATTTATTTAGATTACTATATTTATCAACATGTCATTATTCTATTGGTGCACGGAACTCTGCAATCATTGTGCTACATTAAAATGATCTAAATAACAATAGTTATCAACATAATTATTTCAAATTGTTCATATCCAATAATGTCTTATGAGATTAAACTATTTAAAGAAGTTGAAATCAATAGCAAATCAAAGAAACATCACAAAAATATCTCCCTTAAATTGTGATTGTATCTTAAATGCTGGAGTACATGCAATAAGGAAGTAAACATTTTTTTCTTATTCATGTCTTTATATATTTTGATATATAGATATATTTACCATGAAAGAATAAAGAAAAGAGATATAATGTTTACCAATTAATGTAACATCATAAAAGGTTATGTGTGCTTCATAGCTTGTTTGTTGCTTTAAATTTAATCACAAGTTTTAGATTGATTTTGAATGTTTAAATTCAGCATACGTGACTATTATGAGAGTGGAATACAGAATGTTTCCGTCAAAGGCTTATTATAGAATCGACATTCGTGTATTAATCTTAAAATATGATAAACAATATCAATAAGGAAAGGCGGCATTCCAAGAACGCTACCACCAAACGATCAATATCAATAAGGAAAGGCGGCATTCCAAGAACGCTACCACCAAACGATCAAGCAACAAGAACCAGCGACCAGGAGCCTAGGAGGACCCCAAACAAAAACAGGACAGGGCAAAGTTTATTTTATTATAAGTTAATAAAAATAAAATTAATAACAAATATTGCAATCTGTGTTACATTGATCCTGTTCATAAACGGTAATAGCAAGTGAAAGATACATTCCACGCCCACAAGCACCGTCTTAAGCAAACATTAAGGCTTCATAACTTCTGACCCCCCCCACCTCTTTCAAATTTCATTTTGTTTAGTTCGGTCCATTGTTCTCTCGTTTAGGACACATGCTTTTTATTACTTGGGCATCCGATTGATGGAATCTCAATATAATCTTATGTTTGACGCTGTAAAATAAGTAATAGAAAGAGCACCGAAACACGAGGCTATCTGATTTGTACGAGGGGGCGCAGCCCCCCGAGTATTAATCAGATTGCCGAGTGTTTTGGTGTTCTTTCTCTTTTGTATCATAGTCAAATATAAAAGCACGTTCCCTGTTGTCAAAATATGAAACCCCGGCAAAAATGAACCAATGAACGAACATCTGAATATGACATTTCTGTCGGTTTCACTTTCTCTGCCCTCACAATATGTAAACCCCAGCAAAAATGAGCCAATCAATGGGCATGCTCTGGAGTGCGGGTAACTAATACCCGCACTCCAGTTAACGCACTGTGCATGTATATGTATACGATTTAACCCTGACACATTTTTAACAGGAAGGTCTCCAAACTATGATAAAAGAATCAATACCTTGTCATTGACACGTGTTAACATTCGATTGACGGTAGATTCGAATTAATATTTGAAATAAAAAATAATAATTATATGAAATATTGAGTGCAGCGTCAAATTTTGAGTGGAATTATTATTATTATTATCAATTCAATAAATACTATCACCATGGACAATTATAAAGTGAAGAATTAACTGATGGTGAAGATGATAAAACTATTTGTTAACTTTGTATCCAGCAGGGAGTATGAAATTTCCAACATTGCAATGCCAATAACATGCAAGCGCATGGCAGATTATATATCGATGCTTGAATTATACAAAGTTTTATTTTCCCTCGGTACCTTAGATTACAAATCAGTTGTTTGCTTATTGAAATTAATGGTGCACTTTGTTGAACATGAATGAACATTCATTGGTTAACTAACTACTGTGTGACGTAACATATTATAGTAATTGTGCACAATTGTAAAGTTATTCTATAATGTTGAATGTAATACGTTACTCGTCTACTATATCAAATTGTGCCTTCTTTTAAGTGACTGTAATGAAATAACTGACAATAAAGATCTCCTTTTTCACATCTGAATATTTTTAAATCCTGACAGCTTGAATAGGCGAAATTCCCAAAACACATTCCCTATGTATGAATAAGTCTGTTTTTTATAATAGATGCATTTATCACACGTTATTTTATGTCTTTATGGGATATGCCGGCTTGCAAAGATTATTCTGTTCTGAGTAAAATAAATCAAAATAAAGTTTACAAACTGTCAGCCATGACACTTATAGCATGGTAATTGAAATTGAAAAGTTTCAGTAAAAACAATTTCAAAGTTAATTCAATTGAAAATTCTAGAGCATTTCTAAAGGAGAAAAAAAATACATTTATTCTTTGTGTACAATGTTGTTTATGGCGTTATGTTTACGTATAGATCTGCTTCGTCGGTATAAGCCTTGCCAAAATAAATAGAACAATATGAAATACTGCTCTTATTTCAGTGTCAATAATCATAGTTTGTCAATGGTGTTATTTTGATTACAAATAAAAAACAACATTACCGTTCTTAATCTCTGATAGATAACGTTTTTTTACACGACTTATAATTACTCTGTTATTTTACGTTCAAAATAAAAAAAAGATTATATCTGATTATGTAAATTAAAGAAGTATCTCCGGAAGAAAATTACATGCAATTTTATGATTAGTGCAGCAATGGTATAATATTATATTTTACAATCATATGTTAATAAAAAAAATGTTTTGCTCTATTATGTAACAGATTGAATGATTTTAGTTGATATCGAACGATTTTAATAATCTTTGTGAAAACATCACTTGAGAAAAAGTAAAAACACAATTTTGTTCCAAACGTTCTCAAAATAAATAAATAATGCATGTTCATTTTACTAGCTTAAATCTTATTGACAAATCATATTTTCTACTTATAAAAGCGCCCTAATTAGCATTTGCTTGCAAGAATAGGATTGCAGCATAACTGACATATAGCTTTCACGATCGTTTTACATGTTTTGATAGACGTTTCAAAGGTTTTAGCATAAATTTTATCAAATGAGATGTTTTATTTTTGCTTTCTTTAAACGTTACCTTTTAGCAGTGAAAAATTTCAAATACAATGGGCTTAGCGATTTAAACATAATTATTTCACAAAGTAAGTTTACATTTTTGTTGATATCATTGTTGGCTTTTAACAAAATTATCTCTCGTCTTAGAAAGTTTGAATGGTTCTTTAGGTACTAAAACAATTCTAGTATTTCAATCATGTTATTGAATGTAAATACACAAAGATCTTCATTCGATACAACTTAATTTAATGACAAGAGATTACAATATTGAATTATCTAATTACAGTGTAATCTTATAGTCAGTGAATGATTGTGAACATTGTAACTACTCTTACAGAGTTTGTCATTTACATATGAATTAAAATTTGTCATTATTCATCAAATGTAGAAATATTTTTGCTATGACTTAAGATAACATGATGAAGATGGATTCCTACAAATCTCCGAAGACTCGAAAATGCCGCTGAAAGTGACGATATATTAATGCTGCGTGACTGCGTGCTGCTACATACATGTATTGCTTTTAAATTTTGTTTATAATACAAACCAGACACTTACTCGCATGGTATAAATAAGCCATCAGATTGAACCACCGAGGATCTTTTGAATGATTATAAATTCATCTGAAATATTGTAAAATACATTTACATTCTAGATTGCGTCAATGTTTTAATGTGGTACTGTATAGGGCACGGCAAATGTTAACAATATAATTTGTATTTTCAATTATCACATATTATAACAGCACCTTTGACCTCAAATATAAAGAAGCAAAGGAAGGAAACTTGATAATACATTTTTTTTATTATAAGCTAATTGTGTCAGTTCATATATAGGAACCTTGCAGTATTCTAATAAAACAAGATAAGTAAAAGAACATGCAACTGTTTTTATCACAAGAATTGTGGCATTTAGAATATAATCAACCTTATATGATACACAACAGAAATTGTATGTTATAGAAAATCAATTTGAGACCGAAAGCACTTCACAGATTCCTAAGATATTATCATTCTGATTGATTAACTTTCCATTTGTTTGTTTTAATTTTGATAAATCAGCGTGAAAACAGAGACAAAAACGTGCTTAATTCCAGACGAAAAACTTGAAACATAACCCTTTTCGTTCAGATTTATATTTAACTATTTCGCAAATATTAACTCGTGTACAGACTCAGTTAAATGGATTTGTAATTTTGTTGTTGTTGTTGTTGCTGCTTCGAGAAATCACCTATTTTCTAAAAAAAATTATCGAAGGAGAATAAGTCCTTGAATTACAATTACTGACATACTGTGTTTCATCATTACTGGTGATAATTAATTTGTAAATAGTTTAATATGTTTCAAAGGGCTAGGTTCACGAAACATGTGAATTGGCCCAGCAAATTAGTAAAATATAAAGATTGCAATAAAACAAAACTAATGACATTACACGCAAGCATGATACTTATTCATTCTAAATATGGTCTAAAATTTTATTTAAATTCATTTCTGGAAGGAGTAAAATACTAAATAAAAACACCTATGTTGAATATTTCACGTGTTTTCGTCATTTTCGCCATATCTTTCAACTGAAAAAAATATGAAGGCATTTTCCCGACACTTAGATATTTCACACATACTTTACTTTAATATCAACTAATTGGCACACAAAATTTCAAGGTGTCGAAATAGTGCCTTCATTCTTAATTTTTATGTAATATACTTAGCAGATGGTCAAAGTTACGAGTGACTCGGGGTCGAATTACAAGCTTTTGTTTGCAGGCTTTCCTTTCATTAATTGATTGCTATTGTATTTGTAAATTTTATTTGAATAAAATAAAATAAATGACAGTGGCTAGAACTAACATGCATTAATGATATTTTCATGAATCTTGAAGTTTGACAATTGAATTCCGTGTAAACTTGTTATGCGTTAGAAGTGTAGTCTACACGACGCAAGGGGCGCTACTCTTACTGACAGTTCATCGTTATAAACAACGTGCACATTTTCATTGTTACGCAGCAATTTGTTGAATTACTTGACATACGTAGACATGTAAAGGTATGTTGAACATATTCTTTATAAAATTCATGTTTCTTTTTCGTTCGCTGTGCCATTTTAATTTGATTTTCTTCATTAAAAGTGTTGATCTGCTTGCACTTGCAGACGATAAGCCTAATTCTCGTCCGTTAAATATGACTTGGGATAAAACCACGAAATAATATAGTCGGAATAGATATTTGTGATCAATAATCTATGAAATACATTATCGGCTGTAAAATAAATTATGGGTGAATTATTTTCAACAAAACACGGTAGAATAATTATATAGTTATAATTATCTTCCTCAGGTTATCGAAAGTCTTGGCGCAGTGGTTGTAACGATGGCGTAACGTGTGAAAGGATCAGAGTTCGAAACCTAGATGGAGGTACAATTTTTTTTTTTTCCTTTTTTTTTTTTTTTTTTAATTGTTGTCATACTAGATTTAATATTTCAAAGCTCCTATTCAAATAATATTTTCATAATTTCTACAAGAGAAATAGTGTTGATAAACTGGTAATCAAAGAAATACTAGAGCGGTGTAGGGTATATGTGAACCATCGGGTATTTTGGACCGCCTCTCATTATAACATTTAGAAGTATAATTCCATTAAGTTCTTCAATTAGAAATGACAATCAATCGTCCTTTTTCTGCTGGCTTCCACCTAGTGGCTGTACATTAAGAGAATATTATTATTTTTTGCATGATGTGAAATTTAGAAGAATCATGCCACTGTTTTATAATAAGCTTAAGAAAAAATAGCCAATACTTAAATTCATAAAACCTGTTTATGATATATTTTGTAGAAGTAAACTATAATCTTAGGATGAAAAAAATCCCCTGATCAACATGTGAGCATATTTTAGTTGTTAATACTACTTGATTCATCATAAAATGTGGTTCCAAAACTCCCGACAACATTTTATTGATGTAGGGTGTTTTGGGACACATGAATATCAAATGTTTATTATGTTATTAGATATTATAGAAACGTATCATTAACTCTGTGAAGTTGTGTTTGTATGTCAGATATGTTTTTTAAAAAACAAAACAAAAAAACATCTTAAAACAAAATTATAGAAAGGGTGAAGGAAATGAGGATAAAACAAATAATAATAATAATGACTCAGACTTAAAGCAGAAAAAAACTGAAAAGGGAACCGGACTCCTTAGAGATTCCGACATATCAGTTTATTGTGATGACAATGATCTTGCAGATATGGATACTAGCATTACACTTACACATGCTACTCCTGCAGCATTCCTTTTCTTAATAAAAGTTTTAAATAATATGCATGTACCAGCACGTTTAAAGCATAGTACAATCCATGGTACCATAGTACAAAATGAAGACAATGAACGAGAAATTGCCGATTTGACGTTTATTGTCCAAGAATAGTGCTAATTAATGCACCTTTTTCATGCATTATTAACATTTGCAGAAGCCCTCAGACATTTTAAATCCCTCACTGTGCTGTCTCAGACTTTGATTGTGTCTTCATGCCTCTGAAGATGTTAATGCATACAGAAAAGGGCATTAACCCTCTTATAGAACTTAATCGAAATGAACAGATAAATTAGATCATTTGACCTCACATACTCTATAGATCTATTATGCATCATAAAATAGTATTATAGTTGATTTAAGAGAAATTTTCAATCAAATTTAACTATGCAAAATAAGATTTACTGTTCTATGTTTTGTTACAGAATTTTTACACTAAAATTAACGTGTCCCAAAATGCCCTTCTTTCTGTCCATAAATACCCGACGTGTCCCAAAACTGCCTCCTCATGCTCTTCTGTTTAACAAGGTATATCGTGTTTGTTTTGCATATGCTTATGATAATGGCCCATTATAGACGATAGTCATACAGAGCTTATCCTAAGTATCCAATGCCAATACTGAAACAAGCATATTTAAAATCACAGTAACAAATATGCCTTAGATGTCCCAATATACCCGACATCGCTCTACTTGTAACAGTTGCAATCAATTATTTTTAACTTATCTTTTTAATTGATAATGGAGAAATTTTAAACATAGATCTTTTTCATAAAACTAGATGTATCAATTGAATCTGAATTTATTTAATTTAATTCTATAATGTTTATATTCTATTCTAGGATGGCTCCAACTCCATGCGTTTTGTGTGGGAAAAGACTAAAGATACATCAAAGGAGGCCTGTGAATCCATATCTTATCCGGTATCTCAGAAAAACGTTCATGCTTGAAACTTCAAAATCTGACTACATATGTGGAAAATGTAGCCGACCGGCATATCCTTCTCAGCATAACAAAAGACCCATAATATCTGCATGTCCTGTTCCTGTCACAGCAGAAAAGAATGATATTCAACAATTGCCAAGTCCACCATCGGTTTCTTTGAGCTTAAAAACAATTTCAAAAAGTCATTCATACTGTTTTATTTGTAAGAAAGTAGGATCTAAATTAATTGTTGTTCCATCAAAACTTAGAACAGAAACACTTGTGAAGCATAATATCCTTATAACAGCTGACAGTAGGTGTTGCCCTGCTCACCTGAATAATAATCGTAATGGTTTCCAAGCAAATGTTTTAGATAACGTAAAAACATTAGAGTCTGTTTTATTAAACCTGACTACAATTGTGAATGTTATAAATAATGTCAGACAGTGTATACTTAATTCATCGTCTAATAGAATGTCATTTGACAATATTGATACATTTTCAAATGAAGATTTGTGCAATCTTACAGGTTTGAACAAAGAACAGTTCTTAGATTTATGCTCTATTACTGAAGAACATGTTAGAAATACGCCAGTTAGAAGCCACATTACTACACTGGGTATATTTATGTTTAAACTTAAGTCTGGATTATCAAACAAAATTCTTTCAACACTTTTTGATGTATCTAAATCAGGCATAAGAAGAGCAGTACATACAATCAGAAAAGTGCTTGTTTCTGAACTTGTTCCTAAATATCTTGGCTTCCAGCACATATCAAGAGAAGAAATTATAAAAAGCCATACTCGTTCCCTATCACAGTCACTACTTGCAGAAAATGCCAGCCAAGCTATAATTGTTTTAGATGGAACATACATATATATTAGAAAAAGTACAAACTTCAAATTCCAAAGACGTTCTTATAGTGTACATAAAGGGCGGCCACTTGTTAAACCTATGGTAATAGTAAGCACCACTGGATACTTTATTTCCGTATTAGGACCATATCTTGCAGATTCTAAAAACAGTGATTCAGGAATTTTAAACCATGCAGTAAGGAATAACATAGAGGAAATCAAAAATTGGGCTCAGCCAAATGATATATTTGTTGTAGACCGTGGATTTCGTGACTCCCTGCAAGTGCTGGAGGAGATGGGAATAAAAGCACAAATGCCAAAGTTCATGCCGAAGGGTGCCAAACAATTAACAACCATGGACGCTAACCACAGTCGGTTAGTAACAAAGGTATATATGATTTATCGTTTACCACATTATTTTCTTAAATGAACTTAAAGGGACTCCACTGAGGTTTTTTGACATGATGGGACTGAAAATATTTTTTTCCAGATAAATGTACCATTTGATATAGGTGTAGACCACGAATCTTTGTGCAAACGTTCAGATCATTCGCGCACTTGGTTTTTCCATAATAATTATTCAAATTGTAAAAAAATGACCCAAAATGAAAAGCGTTTAAACGCTTTCACTCAAATTAGACTAAGAAAAGCATAAAACTACAATTTTCGATTTATTTTAAAGTATATTTCTTAACTATCTTTGCATATATTTCTGTTTAAAGCGCCCCAGTTAATTTATGTAAGAAATTCTAATGTTATGTTTTTAGGCTTTTAAACCTCAGTGGAGTCCCTTTAACTGTCAAAGTCTGATCATTGAATTTTGCTTATATTTTCTTTAATTATTTTATCTTAGATTATTTATCGAAACTATTCATACTTGAACAAAATAACAAGTGTGACTAGACAGACATGTAAAAAAAAGGAAGACCCTTTTTGTCTTTTTTAGATTTGTTTTAACTGTTTTTTTTGCCATTAGAAAAAGTAAAAAAAGTCAAGCGTTGCCCCCCCCCACTCTGCGGTGGCTCTTTTTATATGCCCGAAAGGGCATATTATGTTATACCCCCTGGCGTCCGTCTGTCTGTCTGTCTGTCTGTCCGTCCGTCCGTCCGTACGTCCGTCCGTCCGTTAGCAATTTGGTTTCCGGAGCATAACTTAAGTTCCATTTGGCCCACAATGTTCAAACTTCATAGGATGATTGTCCATATTGGGTAGAAGACCCCTATTGATTTTGGGGTCAAAAGGTCAAAGGTCAAGGTCACTATGACCTTAAAACTGAAAACAGTTTCCGGAGCATAACTTAAGTTCCATTCGACCAACAATGATCAAACTTCATAGGATGATTGTCCATATAAGGTAGAAGACCCCTATTGATTTTGGGGTCAAAAGGTCAAAGGTCAAGGTCACTATGACCTTGATACTGAAAACAGTTTCCGGAGCATAACTTAAGTTCCAAATGACCCACAATGTTCAAACTTCATAGGATGATTGTCCATATTGGGTAAAAGACCCCTATTGATTTTGGGGTCAAAAGGTCAAAGGTCAAGGTCACTATGACCTTAAAACTGAAAACAGTTTCCAGAGCATAACTTAAGTTCCATTTGACCCACAGTGTTCAAACTTCATAGGATGATTGTCCATATTGGGCAAAAGACCCCTATTGATTTTGGGGTCTCAAGGTCAAAGGTCAAGGTCACTATTACATTGATACTGGAAACAGTTTCCGGAGCATAACTTTAGTTCCAATTGACCCACAGTGTTCAAACTTCATAGGATGATTGTCCATATTTGAAAGAAGACCCCTATTGATTTTGGGGTCACACGGTCAAGGTCACTATTAAATTGATACTGGAAACAGTTTCCAGAGCATAACTTAAGTTCCATTTGGCCCACAGTGTTCAAACTTCATAGGATGATTGTCCATATTAGGTAGAAGACCCCTATTGATTTTGGGGTCAAAAGGTCAAGGTCACTATATCCTATCAACTGAAAACAGTTTCTGGAGCATAACTCAAGTTCCATTTGACCCACAATATTCAAACTTCATAGGATGATTGTCCATATTGGGCAGAAGACCCCTATTGATTTTGGGGTCACTAGGTCAAAGGTCAAGGTCACAATTACCTTTAAACCAAAAACAGTTTCCGAGGCATAACGTAAGTTCCATTTGGCCCACAATATTCAAACTTCGTAGGATGATTGTCCATATTGGGTAGAAGACCCCTATTGATTTTGGGGTCACAAGGTCAAAGGTCAATGTCACTTTTACCTTAATACTGAAAACTGTTTCTAGACCATAATTAAAGTTCCAATTGGCCAACAATATTCAAACTTTTTAGGATGATTGTCCATATAAGGTAGAAGACCCCTATTGATTTTGGGGTCAAAAGGTCAAAGGTTAAGGTCATTATTAATAACTTAAGTATTAATCAACCTACAGCTGTAAAATTTTATAGGATGAACAGCTAATTCCCATGTCTTATAAATGCTTCATCCTTATTAAAAAAAAAAAACACTTTCGGGCATATAATGCTCCGCCTAGCGGTGCTCTTGTTATGATATCCAACTTTCTTTAGAATAAATACACCAATTCAATTGATTTGCAATTTTTTATCACATATGTGTTTCTAATAATTGATATATATTTTTTGTTTTTTTTAGGTCAGATGGGTAGTTGAAGCATCAAATGCTCGAATAAAGAGATGGAAGTATCTTGACCATGTATTGCCTACCAATCAAGTTCCGTACATTGGTGATTATGTCCGAATTATTTGTGCCACATGTAACAAATACCTTTCACCTCTAAATGCAACCAAAGATTTGATGGACGACACACTTGTAGCAGAGAGAATGAGAGATAAAATCCAGAATGTTAACCACTTACAATCGTATGTTCAAGAAAATGAACTGTATAAGCGAAATATTTCAAAATGGCAAGCAGTGCAAGAAATTGACAATTTCCCCTCCATAGATGATTTTACTCTTAGTCTTTTGACTCTTGGTACCTACCAAATGAAACTTTGCCAGTCATATGCACAAGAGTACCTTGATGGAGATTGTGATATTTTGGTGTATAAAGAATCAAAAGACTTGTTGAGAGTAAGACTTCAAAGTCGTCATGTATCTTCCAAGTCTTATTTTGTTTGGATTCAGTATGATTCAGACCATGTCAAGGCCTGGTACTGCCAGTGCAAGGCTGGTGCACGGACAGTTGGAACATGTTCACATGTGGCTGCGGTGATTTGGTACCTAGGCACATCTAGGCAGCAGTCTGACAGGTACGGAGTCCAAGACTGGACTCAATACCTTGATGATGCTGCCGAGATGCCGCAGCCAATAGATTCATCTGACTCGGAAGACAGTATTGTAGAGGAATAATAAGTAAAAGGAATCATACCAGTAATATTGTCAGACTTATTACTTATATACATAACATTTGTGGAAGTGATGTATCCAATGATTGCTTCATTTAATTAAGTCTGCAAGTGAAAGGTAATGAAGATAAAAGGCACTGTTACTTAATTACTCATAAATGAACATGAATGTTTTTGTTGCCATTTTATGAATCATTTTTGTGATCTGCATATTTTCATTTTAAAGACTGATTCATGTAATCATAGATGTGCAGACTTCCTCTTTTTGTGTCGCCTTGAAAAGGCAACATTTAGGGGTTTCTTTTGTCGGTGTTGTCGTTGTCGGTGTCGGCGTCCCCTAAAGCTTGTCCGGAGCATAAGTCAGTCATTATAAGTTTGATTGACTTCAAACTTGGTATGCATGCTTCTTATAATAACTCGAAGTGCAGTGCACAAGGACCGGTACTCTGCACTTCTTATTTTTTGAGTTATTGCCCTTTGTTAATTTTCATACTTTATTTTTGTCGTGGCCATTTCTCCTAAACTATATTGTTCACAAGGCGACACATCCGACTCGCGGAGTTCTAGTTTAAGTGATAATGCCCATATAGTACATTGTATGGTACCCAGAAATTCCTGTAAGTTTCAAACATATTAAAAGAATGATGAACAAATAAAGCTATAAAAAGGAATATGTGATGATCATTTATAACATGCAATTATATTTATTGTACAAGTAACTATAAAGGGAATTATGTATTTATCCTTTTTTAAATTTTGTATATTCAAAGCAGATTTATCTATATGAAACTTATTATCTAAAACTTTTAGAATGGTTGCTATGGAGATTATGATTGAATTTCAATTCAAAACATAATTATTTATGTTAATATACATGTAGTTTCTGTACACTACCTAAACTGTTGTTAAGCTAAGATTGTTAATAGTTGTTGCTAGAGAGATTATAATTGAATTTCAATTCAAAACATAATTATTTATGTTAATATACATGTAGTTTCTGTACACTACATAAACTTTTGTTAAGCTACGATTGTTAATAGTTGTTGCTAGAGAGATAATAATTGAATTTCAATTCAAAACATAATTATTTATGTTAATATACATGTAGTGTTTCTGTACACTACATAAACCGTTGTTAAGCTACGATTGTTAATAGTTGTTGCTAGAGAGATTATAATTGAATTTCAATTCAAAACATAATTGTTTATGTTAATATACATGTAGTTTCTGTACACTTAAGCTAAGATTGTTAATAGTTGTTGCTAGAGAGATTATAATTGAATTTCAATTCAAAACATAATTATTTATGTTAATATACATGTAGTTTCTGTACACTTAAGCTAAGATTGTTAATAGTTGTTGCTAGAGAGATTATAATTGAATTTCAATTCAAAACATAATTATTGATGCTAATATACATGTAGTGTTTCTGTACACTACATAAACCGTTGTTAAGCTAAGATTGTTAATAGTTGTTGCTAGAGAGATTATAATTGAATTTCAATTCAAAACATGAGTATTGATGCTAATAAACATGTAGTGTTTCTGTACACTACATAAACTTTTGTTAAGCTACGATTGTTAATAGTTGTTGCTAGAGAGATTATAATTGAATTTCAATTCAAAACATAATTATTTATGTTAATATACATGAAGTTTCTGTACACTACATAAACTGTTGTAACAGTTTTCAATATATGATACCATTTAGCTAAGAATATTTATAATTGTTGCTTTATATATTATAATTGAATTTCAATTGAAAACATAATTATTTATGTTTGTTTCTGTACACAATCTTAACTGTTCTTAAGCTAAGATTGATAATAGTGGTTGCTACAGAGATTATGATTGAATTTCAATTCAAAACATAATTATTTATTTTATTATACATGTAGCTTTTTTTGTACACTGCAAAAATAGAAATTTTCAGTATTCGATACAATTTAGTTAAGCATGTTAAGAATGGTTGCTATGGAGATTATAATTGAATTTCAGTTCAAAACATAATAATTAATGTAATACACATGTAGTTTTTTTGTACAATGCAAAAACTGACATTTTCAATATTTGATACAATTTACCTAAACATGTTAAGAATGGTTGCTATGGAGATTAAAATTGAATTTCAATGTGAGACACTAACAAAATATTCTTATCTAAAAAGTAAAGGCAAGATTGACAAGTATATGGAACAAATGTTAGTCATTAAATGAGAAATATACATGCAATTAAATATAGAAAAAACGATTTTAAGAATGTTGTTTAGCGTTGCTATGGCAACAGGACTTATGTATTTACATTTAACATTCTATAATTTCAGTACATGACTATTTATATTGATATAGATTTTGTATATTGACATTTTAATGCTAAATATACTGAAGTTTTCAGTAAATGATACCATTTAGCTAATTATTTTTAGAATGGTTGCTATGGAGATTATAATTGAATTTCATTGTAAGAAACTAACAAAATATTTGATTTTACAAACTTTAATGCAAGATTTACAAATAAATGAAACAAATGTGAATCTTTCAATCAGAAATGTACCTAAATGGAGAAAAAAGATAATTTAAGTATTCTGTTTTGCGTTGCCATGGAAACAAAAATATAGTTTTGAAAAACAAAAATGTGTATGTTTTACTTTTAAGCCTTCGCCGGACAATCATATTACAAAGTTTGAAGAGTTTCTATGATAGGGCAATTTTCAGTACTTCGTGAACCTAGCCCTTTATCAATGTATTTATTTATATGACTATTTAACGATCACAAGAGACTTACTTGATTGCATTTGCTGCTTTAACATGTTTAAATTGTTGTTGTTTTTTTACTTATTGCTGAATACTCTCGCCTTCTTTTCGAAAACAAAGCAATATCACTTAAAGATAATATTTCCTATAGATAATCATAAGTTAATACAAAAACAACAAAACTTATTTTGTATTTGGCATATGAAAGATATATATATATATATAATATATACATTTTCTTGTCATAAAACGTGTATTGCTAAACCTGTTTTGGGCACAGTAGAAATATTTAAACGATGCGTCATAATTACATAACAATAATGCATTTCTACAAATCTCTTGAAGACTTGAAGCTGCCGCGGAAATTGATGATCTATTAATGTTGCTTACTGTTATATAATGCTTTTAAAGTTTGTTTGTGATATAAGCCAGACTCGCATAACAAAGATAAACACTTTGACTGAAACATCGAAGATTTTTTGAATGATTATAAATTCATTTGAAATTGTATGAAATACGCATATTTACTAGAATGTTGCTGTTTATCAAGGAATAAATGTCTTGAGCTGTCCACCAATTAAAATAGTTGTTTTGTTATTTATCATGTAATGTCCTTAGCAAATAAAAAAGATAATAATAAAAAAAAAAATAAAAAAAAAAGGAAATAGAAATTGATTTTTATCAAAGCTAAAGGTGTTAGTTCAATTACATGCACCTTGCAGTATTCTCGTAAAAATAAGCTAAAGTGTAACGTAAAAGAACATTTAGTCCATATGTGAGACAAATGTTAACATTACTTTATACGTAGCTCATTGTTGGGAATATAGATTGCTTCGATTATTGTTAAGTGCATACCCGTCAATACCCGTTACCATACAAAATCCATTATCTAATATTGTTTTTTAAATAGCACACGTGTATAATGATATGGTATAAAAAAATAAAAAAATCTTAGGCAAAATATGCTAGATGCTAAAAATGTTTAAAGTCTTAATTGATAGATATATAAAGTTTTGCTTTGGGTATATATTTGATTGTTTCATCCTTATTCACGCAAACGGTACAATACTATCGGTATTAGAAAAACAAGCAATTCAAGTATTATTGGTTTGAGCGATTTGACCTGATCTTTCTACAACGTTCCAACAAGAGGAAATTGTCACTGTAAAACCAAAATACAGCAAACAGCAAAGGTTAATTGAAAATCAAATTTAATATCACTAAACGAGCTTATAGGCATAGCTTTTTTAGTCTTGATCGAGCTACTCTTCACGGTCCTGATATCCGTGCCATGTACAACTACCTCACAGATTAGGTAATATAGTTGATAGCTAGAAATACGAGTAGAATAATGCGCATCTTGTTAAAATGCACATAACCCTAGTGCAATACTATAACAGGGCTCGAATTTAACACTCGCAAACTCGCAAAATGCTAGTTGAAAAATGATTTTGCGAGTTAGATTCATGACTACTCGCAAGTTTTTGCGAGTTGAAGAAAAAATGGAACACGCTTGTCAGGAAAATCCGAAATATAAATGGGGCGTAATATTCACAGGAAGCCGAGTTACAAACCATGCGCGCACTTGCTGTCTGGTTTACATTTTCTATACCTTAACCTCGCTTAAAAAAGTACACAAATTTAAACCAGTCCAAATGTCATTTTGTCCGTGTAAATCAAGCGTGATCGGAATAAAATGTCTCAACGAAAAATAACGAACTTCTTCCCACTTATTGAAGCAAATGTGTCTTCCGATAACAATACTCTGAGTACAGAAGATGATTCACAGTCTATCAAAAGAAAGTCAATGAGACCTTCAGTTAAAATGGTTAAAAATTGGGAGAAAGAACTTCACGTCAGTCATGTCAGTCTTACGAACGAACACGATGACGATGGAAATGTTGCCAAAATATTTTGCGCCGATTGTTGTGCGCATAATCCAGACCAGACATCGTCGGTATGGCGACAATATTGCATTATTATTTTTTTACATGTAGATTGACATTTGATAAGAATCCCTGTCCCCTGAATCAAGTTTTTGAGTAGAAAATTACGTTGCTGATTCGTACCCCGGGCAGTTCGAACTCGTCCAAATAAATTACAATTTTAAACAATTTTGGAATTAAAAAATCATTGTCGTAAAAAGTGCTAGTTGAATTCAGTTTTTGCTAGTTAAAAATTTGTCCACTAGCAAAAAATTGCTAGTGGCCAAAAAAGTTAAATTCGAGCCCTGTATAACTTTAGATACGTATAGGAATATTTAAGAATCTTCGTTTCTTAATATTAACAACAAGTGCTGTAACAATTATTCTTATAGAAGAGTGTCTTTCAAGACACTACGTATTGTTATATTTGAGTGGCATATCAATTATATCGACTTCTGTTGGCTTCAAAAAGTTGATTACATTATACGTCATAAATCAGACTGGAAATATCTTTCCTGATGATATATCAACATGGAAATAATAATATCTAAATCCTATTCAAGACCTTTTCTGATCAGGTTATATGTATCTTCAACAAGCATGCTCTTTCTAGATGTAATTTCAAGGAATTAAGTACATAGAGCTGGCAGCACATATTGATTTGTTAACAATAATATGAAAAAGTTGTCTAATGTCAATTATTCTTTTCTGTAGAATTCGAATTCATTCAATATCTTCAAATATGTTAACTTTGCCATTCGTTATTGAGTTCAACCTAACTGATGTGTCACTCATTCACGTTTGACGTAAATTAAAAAAAAACGAAAATAGGCAGTCTATTTATTACCAATCTATATCACTTACTTTAAAGTTAAAGTGTCATTTTGCCCATTCAAGGGTATATAGTAAGTGAACAGGTTATAGTCAAAATAAATTTATCGTAATTCCTTAAAGTTTTTAAATTACTTCGGATGTTCTGTACGAAAATGGCACAAGGAACGTTCTAAAATCATCATCGGTATTTACTTGTAACGGTAAATTGGACAGTCTTTGTATATTTCAAGCAGATTTGTTTTCATCCTTAACTATTGTCAACATCAAGTGTAGGCCAATCATCTTTATAACAATCACTCATTTGAAATATACGTATAATCCATTCAGCTCAACTTGACAATTTAAACATGAGCATAATGTCACCTGTGACGGTCCGTATAAGTTCTAGGTGATGTTTAAAAATATACTATTCTCAATTGTTGACAATATTAATAATTGCTACACAGTCTCTTTGTAAATATGAAAAATAATCATGTTTTGATTTCACACAAAGTAGGTATGTTATGTTCAAAATTCTGCACACAATAGGTGGTCATAATATGAATATATAGTGTCATTAAAAATGGTGTTTTGTAAGAAAAAAACAACTTTGCGTGACCTGTGATAAGGAACGCAGCTTTTCATACATACTTTATTCATTTTTTATTCATTTTTTTTTTATCAAATTAGACATATTCAGTAAGAATTGCATTGATATCAATAAATATCTGTAATTAAAATATTTACTCAGGGATAGGTATAGTATATCTTTAACAATGGAATTCGGTAATATTGTTTTGTTAGTTGGGCAAAGTCAATGCCCAA